CAGGTTTCAGGGATATAATATGAAGGACGGCGTACACGGACTTTGTATTTGTGTTTCTCCCCCAGAGATTAGAACTCGCTGATCCCAGCAAACATAATGTGCAGCAGATTGTTCTCCATCTCCCGCAGCCAAATCTTCAAAGAGGGGGGGAGGGGCAAAGCGTCAGCGCTTGGAAGAGAGCTTCACGGCATTGACAGTGACTGCAGATTGCACTATAGAGGCCAATTGGCTTCCGGTGGGGTCAGCCTGCGGCAGGGCTGGGCACGACGATAAAGAACTCAGGCCTCCAATCTGGGAGCCAGCTGGGGCTCCTAAAGAGGGCCCTGCGCTGTGATCACATGACATATAACACATTCATATAACAATATACCAGACGAGCCTGTGCCACCGAGGGCCACACGTTATCGCCATTTCCTGTGTAGTTTGTATTCTGGAGCCGCTTCATGTGCATTCTCCAAAAGCCACCATTACCTTCCGGGGTTTGTAGGTGTCCTCGCTGCCTCACAGGAGGGTGATTGCTGATGTCACACATCACATGACTACAGGCCAGCAAGACCGGCAAATCTTCTTCCTGGACCCGCCCCCACCCCAAGCCTGTGATTGGACAGTGAAAGGAGAAGCAGCACAGTAATCAGCTCATCTCCCTGTCACTCTTCTCCCTCCTCCTATCAGTGTGCTTATTGTCAGCACATTAACTGATTGGCTCCTTGTGCTGCTTCTTCCTCTCACACTCCAGCCCGGCCGTACAGGAGTCTGATTCCGGGTCAGAATGATGTGCTCACACCGCTCGCATTGAAATCTGGGGTAGTTATTATCGCGGTGCTGCATTCATTTGTGTCTTTTATATCCCCCCGGAGTTCAGATTTAGGGCTGGGGTAGACTTGTGCGATCCCTGGACGCGCGCCCCGGGGCCGCGCGATGGCGTCCGGTTGCACAAAGCGGTTGCCGCGGGGCCCCATTGATTTCAATGGAGTTACACCCGCGTGGCAATTGCTGAAAAAAGATGCACTGTGTTTTTTCAAGCGCGGTTGTGCGCGATTGCACGGGCGGAATCGCGGTGGGAAACCACGCGTGACTAGAAAATAATGACACCGCCAGGTCGGTCGGTCAGTGGTGGCAGGCGAATTCGTGACCACGTAGCCATCCTCGCAGTTTCGTGTACGGTTGCCGCGCGGTCACGGATCGCCCAAGTGTGAACCCGGCTTCAATGTCCTCCATTCAGGTTCTGATAGTTTTCATTGCAGATGATTTTCCTGTTGCCAGGCGACTTGGCAGACTATCGATGATGTCATGCATCCAGTAGAGCCTCCGGTGACATCATCATCCGTCAGGGCGGGGCTGTTTGGCGCTGCGATTGATGATGAATGGCCGTCTTTCCTCTCCGTCCCCGGCAGCCTCCCTTCTCCTCTCATCATGAACCTTCCGATTGCTCACTCTGTGTGAATGTTCCGCTGTGTGTATGGAAGGCAGGAAGCCCCGCCCACATAATGTACAGCTTACAAGAAATCATTGATCCGCCCGCTTCATCATTTCCTGGCTCCGGTCCAAACTTCAGCCGGCTGCCTGTCATCGGGAACAACGCTCCTCACATCCAGCGCTGAGTGCTCAATATGGACAAGGAGGCATCCTCGTCCTCATCCTTATCCTCATCCTTGTCTTCAGTCTCATCCTTATCATCAACCTGGTCTTCTTCCTCATCCTTGTCTTCATCCCTATCCTTATCCTCATCCTTGTCTTCATCCTTATCCTGGTCCTCTTCTTCATTCTCATCCATATCCTCATCCTGGTCTTCTTTCTCATCCTCGTCCTTGTTCTCATAGTCATAGTCATGGTTATGTTAGCCATTTCATGGCTGGGGATATAGCGGTGAGCATGGCAGGAAGGCATGTCCTCATACTTGTCGTCATTCTTATCCTGGTCCTCTTCCTCACTCTCATCTTTATCCTGGTCCTCATCCTTGTCGTCATCCTCATCCTTATCCTGGTCCTCTTCCTTATCCTGGTCCTCTTCCTCATTCTCATCCTTATCCTCGTCCTCATCCTTGTCGTCAACCTTATCCTGGTCCTCGTCCTCATCCTGGTCCTCTTCCTCATTCTTATCCATATCCTGGTCTTCTTCCTCATCCTTGTCCTTTTCCTCAATCTCATCCAGGTCTTCTTCCTCATCCTCGTCCTTGTTCTCATAGTCATGTTAACCATTTCATGGCTGGAGATATAGTGTTGAGCATGGATAGGAAGGCATGTACTCATTCTCATCCTTCTCCTTGTCCTTCTCCTCATCGTTGTCCTGTCTTGTCCTGGTCCTCATCCTTGTCCTTATCCTCAACCTCATCCTGGTCCTCTTCCTCATACCCATAGTCTTGGTTCTAGTGTATTTTGTATACCATTTCATGGCCAGAGATATAGTGGTGAGCATGGGTAGGAAGGCATGTCCTCATCCTTGTCCTCTTTCTTGTTCTCATCCTGATTCTTGTCCTTATCCTAAACCTCATCCTCGTCTTCTTCCTCATCCTTATCCCCGTCCTCGTCTTCATACCCATAGTCTTGGTTCTAGTGTATTTTGTATACCATTTCACGGGTGGGGATATAGTGGTGACTATCAACAGGACAGCATGTCCTTATCCTTGTCCTTTTCCTCATACTTATCCTCGACCTTATCCTTGTCCCCTTCCTCATACTTATCCTTGTCCTCATCCTCATACTTATCCTCATCCTCATACTTATCCTCGTCCTTACCCTTCTCCTCTTCCTCATACTTATCCTCAACCTTATCCTTGTCCTCTTCCTCATACTTATCCTTGTCCTCTTCCTCATACTTATCCTCGTCCTCTTCCTCATACTTATTCTCGTCCTCATACTTATCCTCGTCCTCATCCTCTTACTTATCCTCGTCCTCATCCTCATACTTATTCTCGTCCTCATACTTATCCTTGTCCTCTTCCTCATACTTATCCTTGTCCTCATCCTCATACTTATCCTTGTCCTCTTCCTCATACTTATCCTCATACTTATCCTCGTCCTCATCCTCATACTTGTCCTCGTCCTCATCCTCATACTGATCCTCGTCCTGGTCTTCACGTATGTGGAGATTCCCATTCAGGTTGCGTTCCGAGCTCTGGGCTGTTCTCCGGTGAGGTTGGGTTCCCCCTTTAGGGAGGACACAATTCCGGAGCGCGCCTTCCACGCAGTCGCGTTCGGCACCTTTTGGTCCCCCCCAGCTGCTGACATCGGCTCCAGTTTTACAGCCTCACTCATAAAATGTCCATTTCAGAAATCACATTGATCGAAACGCGGAGAGCGGAGTGACAGCTTCACGGAACGCGTCCCCCACTCTCATCCCAATCCTGATAAATCATCGCGCCTCGGATCAATACCATGTGCCCGTCACCGAGTGCAGCCGCCTGACAACCGATCGCATCACCACGCCGGTAATTAAATGTGCCGGATTATTACCATCGGATACTGGAACCAATTATAGATATGAGCGTTCAATGCGGGACCGAGAGAACCAGAGGAGCTGACACTCTAATCCCCTCCACAGTCACACACTATTATTATACTTCTGATAATAACAATGTGACATCCTGAGGATCGGCGGTCTCGGGTCTCGTTGCGTCCGGCGCGGTTTTACTTGTAATAAATAATGTCAGTGGGCGCGGCGTTCATCTTTGTTGGCGGCGGCGGCGCTCTGTCCTTCCGCATCACAACAGATTTTCGCCACTTCTTCTCTTCTGCCACATGTGACGCCACGTGAGAATATTCTGTCCTCAGATGGATCCTGCAGAGGCGGCTCTGGATGAAGCCGAGAGACAGAAGACGATTGTTCCGCACGGCGGATTATGTGATAACGCCGTCACAGGGACTGTCTGTAAGAATGCCTGACACCCGGCATCGTACCACTGCACTGACCTCCAATTTAAGGGGCACTACAATGACCTCCAATGTAAGGGGCACTACACTGACCTCCAATGTATGGGGGCACTACACTGACCTCCAATGTAAGGGGACACTACACTGACCTCCAATGTAAGGGGACACTACACTGACCTCCAATGTAAGGGGCACTACACTGACCACCAATGTAAGGGGGCACTACACTTATCTCCAATGTAAGGGGGGCACTACACTGATCTCCAATGTAAGGGGGCACTACACTGACCTCCAATGACCTCCAATCCTTAGATTTGGAGGTCAGTGTAGCCCCCACAGAAAGTGATGTGTATATCTGCATGGGGGGGGTGATAGGGATGAGCTCAGGTCTATTTATGTACAATGATCCTGTACCTGCAACTCCCAGCCCTCGCTTGCTGGCACGTCCCTTTATGTGCACAGCGGGGTTGGAGAACAGCTTCCTCTCCTGCATGCCGCCTCCCACTCCTGTCACACATGCTCGCCTTCGCTGAAGCGCTTTGCATGCTGGGCAATGAAGTTCTGTAGCCAATGCCACATGGAGCGTAATTTATAAAATGTTCGCAGAGCTGTTTGTGCGATCGTCTGGTTTGTAACTTTGCACCACATTATGGGCACTAGATGGAGCCAAAGAGCATAATAATGTCCTGTGCTCCTTGGCTCCATCTAGTGGCCATATTGTGGTGCGAATCTACACCACACACATTTGCACAGCAAACAGCTCTGCAAACGTTTTATTACCACATTCCTCAGTAACCCTGCACCTGCCTCTGGGGCACGGATGCACATGAGTGGGAGTGGCACATTTCTGCCATTTAAAGTGTTTTTTTTTTTATATCTAGAACTATTTGCTTTTTATTTTGTACTTGTTCTCCCCACCATACGACGTAACGTTCTTTGTTTTGCAGGCTGGAATGGGTGGAAATCATCGAGCCTCGTACACGGGAGTGTATGTACGCCAATCTCATCACTGGGGAGTGCGTGTGGGACCCGCCGTCCGGAGTGCGGATTAAGCGCACCAACGAGAACCAGTGGTGGGAACTGTTTGACCCGAATACCTCGCGCTTCTACTACTACAATGCCAGTACTCAGAGGACTGTGTGGCACCGGCCACAAAACTGTGATATTATCCCGCTGGCCAAGCTGCAGACCCTGAAACAGAACACGGAGTCGCCCCGGGCCTCTACCGAGAACAGCCCGGGGAGGGGCAGTAATGTCAGCCGAGAGGGCAGCACCAGCTCTTCTCTGGAGCAGGAACTGGACGCCGGGGAAAAGTGCTCCGACCAGCTCAAGTCGAATCGCCACTCAGCGCCGTACTTTGTGGTGAAAGAGGACTCGGACAGGTAATGCCACCTGTGTTCTCTATGGCTGGCTGTGGTCATTCAGAGCCAATATACTGGAAGTGTGATGATGTCATGTGATCTGCCAAGGCCAATGTAGTGACAGCTATCAAGATGATGATGTCATGTGATCTGCCAGGGCCAATGTCTTAAAATCTGGCAGTATGATACCATGTGATAGTTCAGGGCCAATGTATCGAAAGCTGACAGTGATAGTCATGTGATTAGCCAGGGCGAATGTAGGTAGAGCTGGCAGTATGACGATATCATGTGATCAGTCAGGGCCAATGTAGTAAAAACAAGCAGTATGATGATGTCATGTGATCATTCGGGGTCAGTATAGCAGAATCTGGTAGTATGATGTAGTACAATGTAGTAGAATCTGGTAGTATGATGATGTCATGTGATCATTCAGGACCAATGTAGCAGAATCTGGTAGTATGATGATGTCATGTGATCATTCAGGACCAATGTAGCAGAATCTAGTAGTATGATGATGTCATGTGACCATTCAGGACCAATGTAGCAGAATCTAGTAGTATGATGATGTCACATGACCATTCAGGACCAAAGCAGCGGATCTGGTAGTATTTTGATGTCATGTGATCATTCAGGACCAATGTAGCAGAATCTGGTAGTATGATGATGTCAGGGGAACATTCAGGACCAATGTAGAAGAATCTAGTAGTATTTTGATGTCATGTGATCATTCAGGACCAATGTAGCAGAATCTGGCAGTAAGATGATGTCATGTGATCATTCAGGACCAATGTAGCAGAATCTAGTAGTATGATGATGTCATGTGATCATTCAGGACCAATGTAGCAGAATCTGGTAGTATGATGATGTCACATGATCATTCAAGACCAAAGCAGCAGAATCTGGCAGTATGATGATGTCACATGATCATTCAAGACCAAAGCAACAGAATCTGGCAGTATGATGATGTCATGTGATCATTCAAGACCAAAGCAGCAGAATCTGGCAGTATGATGATGTCATGTGATCATTCAGGACCAATGTAGCAGAATCTAGTAGTATGATGATGTCATGTGATCATTCAGGACCAATGTAGAAGAATCTGGTAGTATTTTGATGTCATGTGATCATTCAGGACCAATGTAGCAGATCGGGTAGTTTGATGATGTCATGTGATCATTCAGGACCAAAGCAGCAGATCTGGTAGTATGATGATGTCATGTGATCATTCAGGACCAATGTAGCAGAATCTGGTAGTATGATGATGTCATGTGATCATTTAGGACCAATGTAGCAGAATCTGGCAGTATGATGATGTCATGTGATCATTCAGGACCAATGTAGCAGAATCTGGTAGTATGATGATGTCATGTGATCATTCAGGACCAATGTAGCAGAATCTAGTAGTATGATGATGTCATGTGATCATTCAGGACCAATGTAGCAGAATCTAGTAGTATGATGATGTCATGTGATCGTTCAGGACCAATGTAGCAGAATCTAGTAGTATGATGATGTCATGTGATCATTCAGGACCAATGTAGCAGAATCAGACAGTATGATGATGTCATGTGATCGTTCAGGACCAATGTAGCAGAATCTGACAGTATGAAGATGTCATGTGATCATTCAGGACCAATGTAGCAGAATCTGGTAGTATGATGATGTCATGTGATCATTCAGGACCAATGTAGCAGAATCTAGTAGTATGATGATGTCATGTGATCGTTCAGGACCAAAGCAGCAGATCTGGTAGTATGATGATGTCATGTGATCATTCAGGACCAATGTAGCAGAATCTGGTAGTATGATTTAGTCATGTGATCATTCAGGACCAATGTAGCAGAATCTGGTAGTATGATGATGTCATGTGATCATTCAGGACCAATGTAGCAGAATCTGATGGTATGATGATGTCATGTGATCATTCAGACGGAATTGATATCTTTTCCATTTTCTGCCAGTTCCCGGTGCTCTGGTTTCGCATCGTCTCCGTATTTTGACAATGATGAGAATAACCCGGAGGAATCTTCTATGTAAATTGCGCCAGCCTGAAAAGATTTTATATCCCGTTCTGTCTCCTTATTTCTTGCGTGATCCATTATTTCTAGGACGGGGGAGGGGAAGAAGAATTCTCTTTCAGCCGACTTTGTGGTTCTCTTTAGATCCCTCTGGCAGGTTTACCGATGTCGCTGTTCTTTGTTGGCTCTGCGTACTTTTCTCCGTCTCCGCATTCGATATCTGCCATGTAGAGAGCTGGCTGTGATTCCGGAGAATGGGCAAGGAATTATTATGCTGAAGTTTATAAATTGTCCCCAGAGTCTGATGTCACCAATCGGTGATGTCCTGGTGCTAAATGCATCAAGAAAAAAAAAAAAAACAACCGCCAAGACAACTTAACACCCAACGCCTGTAAAACTTTATTATTCCAGGACAAGCATAAAAGACGCCCCGGCCCGCGACCTTTCCTGACACGTTTCACCCTCCATTAGGCCTAGAAGTGATCTCTGTGGTGGGTGAAATGAGTCGGCGGAGGAGGTCCCAGGGGGAGCTTCTTGAAGTTTGTCCTGGAATAATAAAGCTCAGCAAGCTTTGGACGTTACATTGTGCTGCCGGCTTTCTCTGGACGTGTTCACCGAATGATAAAGATGGTGACCCTGGATGATGTCCGAACAAAGATGGTGCTGTCCTTCTGGAGAGAAAAGAAGATGAAGACTTTATCAGGGGGAGTCCCATGATAAGGGGTGTATATTTGCTCTCACTGACCACCAATGTAAGGGGTATTCTTCCTCCAAATGGCCACCAATGTAAGGGGTATTCTACTCATTGGCCACCAATGTACGGAACATGTATCCCACTGACCACCAATCTAAGGTACATTCTTCCTACTGATCACTAATAAAAGAAGCATTATTCCCACTGACCACCAATATAACAGGCATTAATTCCACTGACCACCAATGTAGGGAACATTCTTCCCACTGACCATCAGTGTAAAGAGATATTTTATCCACTGACCACCAATATAACAATGCCCTTCTACCATTATCAATCTCTGTGAGGGGTCCTTCTTCCAATGATCAGCAATCCAGGGCCCTTCTCTACTAGACGCCAATGTAAGGGGGCACTTGTCTGACCTCCATTGTAAAAGGTCCTAATCTACTGTCCACCAATGCAAAGGAACACTAGATTTTTCACTGTATTTCTTCTTATTATTATTATTATTATTATTATTATACACATTTCAGTATTATCACCACTAAAAAATGTGTTCATATAGAGTAGCCATGGGTGTCAGAAAACCAGAAGTATTCCACGTCTCTTATTCTTTTATTAATTCTTATATCTTCAACATATTGGTCATGGTAATATACTGTGAGGGGTAGATGTAACAATTATGAGCAGGACTTCCCTGAGACTTGAAAGTTGTTTCAAAGGTCCCCCCGTGTTCTAAAGGTTGAGAAAGGTTGATCTACAAAATAAGCAAACCTTGCATTTTCAGTTAAAGTCTGCTATAACGTGTAAGAGCTTATGAACAACTTTAGTGATTGGGTTTAGATATACTTTAACCCTGACCATCCTACTAACCCCCTATTTTTTCTTCTTAGGACTTGTTCAAACCATGTCCCTTGAACCGTATTTTGGTCCATACCACCGCACATGTATCATGTGAACAAGGCACATAGAAAACAAGTATTTTTCTATGTGCCCTGTTTGCTCCATACATGTGCAGTGGGGTGGCATAAGAAAAATGATGCCCCCCCCCACAGACCACCAATGGAAGCAGCATTATTCCCCCCACTGACCACCAAAGCATGGGGCATTCTTCCTCCAAATGGCCACCAATGTAGAGGACATTCTTCTCCCCTGACCACCAGTGTAGAGGGCATTCTTCCCCCCTGACCACCAGTGTAGAGGGCATTCTTCCCCCCTGACCACCAGTGTAGAGGGCATTCTTCCCCCAACTTACCACCAATGTAAGGGGCATTCTTCCTTCCACTGACCACCAATACATGGGGCCTTCTTCCTCCCGCTAATTCCCAATGTAAGGGGCCTTCTTCCTCCCGCTAATTCCCAATGTAAGGGGCCTTCTTCCTCCCGCTAATTCCCAATGTAAGGGGCCTTCTTCCTCCCGCTAATTCCCAATGTAAGGGGCCTTCTTCCTCCCGCTAATTCCCAATGTAAGGGGCCTTCTTCCTCCCGCTAATTCCCAATGTAAGGGGCCTTCTTCCTCCCGCTAATTCCCAATGTAAGGGGCCTTCTTCCTCCCGCTAATTCCCAATGTAAGGGGCCTTCTTCCTCCCGCTAATTCCCAATGTAAGGGGCCTTCTTCCTCCCGCTAATTCCCAATGTAAGGGGCCTTCTTCCTCCCGCTAATTCCCAATGTAAGGGGCCTTCTTCCTCCCGCTGACCACCAATACATGGGGCCTTCTTCCTCCCGCTAATTCCCAATGTAAGGGGCCTTCTTCCTCCCGCTAATTCCCAATGTAAGGGGCATTCTTCCTCCCATTGACCACCAAAAAGTGAGGGAACACTGACATTATCACTTTGTTTTTCCATTCTGGCCATTATAATTTCCTTCATATTATATTTATGAGCATTACTGAAAATCATTTCCCTGTATAGAGCGGAGCGGGTAGGGGGGGTGAGGGGGCTGTGTGTTAAAACGACCGGCCTTTACTCTGGAATATTTATTTGGTAATTAATTATTCAAAGATGAACATCGATCTCATGGAAACACTTTTATTGTAAATGATACACTTATAAAATCACTAAATACATGGAAATTTTTTCCTTTACTCGTCAAGGAGTCTGATATGCAGGCCGTGGCTTGACACCCTGACAAATTTGTGTCTGCGCCCACCATGTCCATCCCATGGTGCTGATTGGCTGAGCAGCTCCACTGTCTCCCAGTTCATGAGGGGATCGCTTTGTCCTGGAGAGTAACTCTGCATTGGCTGTCAATCCTGCTATGGACAAACTAACACACCCATTAGGACGCTGGGCAGCGTTCTCCCGATCCT